AGGCGTTGTCGGAAGTTTCTGTTGATATTCCACCTGGCTCGCAGATGCTCATTCCCTTACGATATCGGAAGCCGGTGCCTGGTCGGCAGGGAGCTTTTGGGGTTTTGCTGTCGCCGTCCGCCGCTATTACGGGCGGATTGGCGCTGGTGGGGGCGCAAACTATTGTCCGGCCAGATCAGCGGCCGTTTTTGCAGGTGCTTAATGCGAGTACTGAAAGCGTGTGTGTGCCGGCTGGTACCGTTGTGGCACATGCCACTACGGCGTTTACGGCTCAGAGTGATCTGCCCAACGGGGGGCTGGTGGGTGGTGTTTCACACGATGGAGCGGTGGATGATCGTTGGATCGCTGAATTGTGTGGGGAGAATTCAGCCCTTTCCGGCGAACAGCGTTGTGCGATTCATAAATTATTATCGAGTTATTCGGATGTGTTTAGCTCTGACGATTTGGACTTGGGACGCACCTCGCTGCTTTATCATCATATCGACACAGGGGACGCTGCCCCTATTCGCTTAAACTCGCGTCGGATGAGTCCGGCTGAGCGAGAGCATGTTCGAGGGGCAGTGGATGACATGTTGAAAGCGGACATAATATCTCCGTCTAACAGCCCGTGGGGCGCGCCTGTTGTGTTGGTTAAAAAGAAGGATGGCAAATTGCGATTTTGTGTTGATTTTCGTAAGTTGAATAAAGTGTCGGTAGCAGATGCGTATCCCCTGCCGCGTATGGACGATTCTCTCGACGCCTTGTCGGGGGCCAAGTTCTTTTCAACGCTAGATCTCTCTTCGGGCTTCTGGCAGCTCCCCCTTGACGAGCCCTCGCGAGAAAAGACTGCTTTCCGTACGCCGCAGGGGTTATTCCAATTTAACTGTCTTCCGATGGGGTTGAATGCGGCCCCTGCCACTTTTCAGAGGTTGATGGAGTTGGTATTAACGGGGTTGCAGTGGGAGACATGTCTGATATATTTAGACGATATTATCGTCTTCAGCCGCACATTTGATGAGCATTTACTGCGGTTGGAGGCTGTATTCACCAGAATGCGTTCTGCTAATTTGAAATTCAAGCCAAAGAAATGTCACCTACTGCAACACTCCGTTCGATACTTGGGGCATATTGTTAGTGCGGACGGGGTGGCCACGGATCCGGAGAAGACAGCGTGTGTCCGTGATTGGCCAACCCCGGCCACGGTGGGTGATGTGCGTCGGTTTTTGGGGTTCGCCTCTTATTATCGGAGGTTTGTTCCGAATTTTGCTACGATCGCGAGGCCTTTGCATCTCCTTACGGGGAAGGGACACAAATTTGCTTGGGGACCGCCGGAGGAGGCGGCGTTTCGGAGCCTGCGCGATTTATTGGCTACTGCACCGACGTTGGATTATCCGGATTTTGAACACCCCTTCATTCTGGATACGGATGCGAGTGACACTGGTATTGGGGCGGTGTTGTCTCAGTCAAAAGGTGGAGTTGAACGCGTGGTGGCGTATGGTAGTCGGGTTTTGTCTCCCGCGGAAACCCGCTACTGCGTCACTCGCAGGGAACTTTTGGCCATTGTTTTTTTTCTCCGCCAATTTCGACCGTATCTGCACGGTCGGTCGTTTATTGTCCGCACGGACCATGCGGCCTTGCAGTATGCTCTTAAGATGGACCAGCCATCTGGACAATTGGCGAGGTGGCTGGACACGCTGCAAGAATTTTCCTTCAAAATTCACCATCGGAAAGGTGTGCGTCACGCTAATGCGGACGCACTTTCCAGGTTGCCGCAACAATCCCCTTGCGCGTGTGCGTCGGGGACGCATAGGTGTGGACCGATTCAGCTCCCCCCTCAGCCTGTCGCGCTGGCGGTTGATGTGCCTGAAGCTCCGCTTAAGCCGGGACCGGTTGACGGGGGACCGGCTGATGGGATTTTGCGTCTCCCGAGGTCTGTGTGGATTCGGGAGCAAATGTTGGATGATTCCTTGGTAACGTTACGCAAACGACCGGAGAAGGCAAGTAGGGGACTCGGTGCGGGTGGTGTACCGGAAACCGCTCTCCGAGATGGGTTGCTGATGTGGAGGGAAGGGATACAGGAACGCTGGCGTCTTGTTGTACCGGCATCATTGCGGTACGAATTGATTAGGACTCTGCATTGTGACACACTTTTACATCTGGGGGTGCAGAAGACCCTATTGACGCTGCAGCGAGATTACTATTGGCACGGCATGACGACAGATGTCGTCGGTCACGTTCGCCCGTGTCCCGATTGTGCCCGCCGGAAGCCACCTAAACATCCATATGTGCCGCCGATACAATCTATTCAGGTATCTCGAGTTAATGAATTGGTGGCGTTAGATATTTTGGGACCCTTTCCGCCATCCGCTAGGGGAAATAAGTATTTGCTGGTGGGGGTGGAGTATCTCTCCCGCTGGCCGATGGCCTGGCCTTTGCCTGACCAGTCAGCGGCGTCTATTACAGACGCCTTTCTATTTGGGTATGTTATGGACAAGGGGGCGCCGGAGAGGCTCCTTACAGACCAAGGCCGGAATTTTTCGTCTAAATTGTTGGGGGAGGTGTGTGCGGCTCTTGGAACTAAAAAGATACGGACATCCCCCTACCACCCACAAACGGATGGTATGGTGGAACGGTTAAATCGGACCCTGTCCGCCATGCTGTGCCATACGGTCAGTGAAAAACAATCAGATTGGGATTTGCATATCCCTGGGGTGCTTTCGGCGTATCGCATGACGCCGCACGCGGCTACTGGATACTCGCCGTTCTTTCTCATGTACGGCCGTGAAAACGTGCCGCCGATTACTGAGCAGTTGGGAACCGGAGCGAGGGGACCTGCTAAACCTCTTCCTGATTATATTCAGGATAATGTTCGCCGTGTCACTGAGGCGAGGGAAGGAGCCCGCATGGCTACGGCCAAAGCCCAGGCCCGGAACGAGCGGTGTGCTCGACGTTCAAAGGGGGAGTGCCCCTGGAAAACGGGGGACCTGGCCTGGCTTCATTGCCCACAGGTGCGGCCAGGTATCTCTCCTAAATTACATAAACCATGGCAAGGACCGATCCGCCTCATTGAGGTTCCCAACCCACAGTCGGCACGTGTTCGGGTTGGTTCGCGGCGCTGGTTCGTGCATACATCCCGGTTGAAGCCATACGTTGCCCCGCGACCTGATGCGTCATCTCCTGAGGTTGCCTTGCCGGGGTCTGTTGCTGCCGACTCGCCCTTGCCTGTGCCTGCTGACCTTGCAAGAGCGCCTGTCGTACCCCTTACAGACAAGCCGGCCGTGACGCCGCAGGAGGGAGGACGTTCCGCTCGCGGGATGCCGACCAGGGCCGCGGAATCTACGGGACCTGCAGCCCTTCCTACCCCTCCACAGACGCGATTACGGGACGTCTCTGAACGGGACCGGGACGGTGGCAGGCCTCCAATGGCGACGGACGAACTTGCTCCTGTCGCCCTTAAAACCCTGCCACGTTCCCGCTCGGCGGGTGGGCTGCCGACCGTCCGGGACGGCCCGGCTACCCGTACTCGCTCGAAATCCCTCACATTTCGTTAACTTGTGTTGTGTTCTTGTTATATTGTTGTTGTATGCTTCGTGTCCTTTAACGTATTGGTCTTTTACACCCGCATTGCTTGTTATGTTGTAGTTCAGCCGAGGTCGGCTGGATTTTCTCTACGGGGGAGGGTGGTGTAATGCGGGCGTAAACGACCTCCCGGAGGTGACGTCATGAGGGGAGGAGTTAAGTCACGTGGGGGAGAGGGGTCAGGTCTATAGAGGGAGAGAAACCGGAAGAGGAGGGGGAGTGACGGGAGACTAGGAACGAGTGAGGCCACGTAGGGCGAGAGCGGAGGGTGGCGAGATCGCCACGGACACGGGGAACGAGGATCGGCACCGTAGGCCAACGGTGACCGACCCGGAGCAGCGAGGAGGCTGCAGTTGGCAGCGGGTCTGCATACGGAGTTGGCAGCGGGGGTCTGCATACGGAGTTGGCAGCGAGTCTGCATACGGAGTTGGCAGTGGGGGTCTGCACACGGAGTTAGCAGCGAGTCTGCAAGGAGAGGAGGGAGGCTACAATAGCGATAGCAGCCGGGGGCTACAAGTAGAGTGTCTCTAAGAGAGTGCCATGAGGGAAGAGACAAGAACCCAAATAAAGGACACGGAGTCAGAGAGAAGCGTCCGAGTCTTTTATTACATATTTATGAAACAAAGCAAGTACAGTATAAATTTGACCTCTTAGTCCAAATCAAACTGGACATCAGTTGTATTCTTTAGACTGTATGTCGTTGTTTAATCCTCTAAACTTGCAGCAGTTTAGAGGACATAGCCGGGTGAATATTAGCAAATTCACAGGAAGCACGGACTTGGAGATGTAGATCTTTATTCAAACGGAAGCGTACAATTATGCAGTGAGATGTACATACGTATTAAGGTTTAATTACAATGGCCAGATTAGCTAAGCTGTTGCTAGATATGCAGATTGTTAATGTAAGAATTAACAATTGAATGCAAAGTCCATGATAGGCCAAGTCGAGAACAAATAATTTGGATGCTAGAGGGAAGTTATAAGGGGCATAAAATCAGACTTCAAGACCATTTCGAGAGGGATTTCACTGAGGATAGACGCGCAACTCCTCGCTCTGCAGATTACCCTTCTTCCACGAGACCCAGCCTGGCGAGCACGATTGCTTGGCGACTGGTTGGCGACTTCGCTTCGGGAGAGTTCGTGGCGATCTCTTCAGACGGGTTACAGGGACATCGATACGCCGTGCATCAACAAGTGTCTTTGTTAGTGGATAAACTGTAATCGCGTGTGTAGTTCGACTTACGGGGCGTTACTGTCTCGGTTAGACGTTAGTGAGAGTTTGCTTATTGGCGATATGAGCCAGATATCCAAACAGCTTAGAGGGCGCCTTTAACTCAACAACACCCGAGACTGTTACTCTGCTCTGATGAATCAGTTACATGGAGCAGATGAACTCTCCACAGTGCCACGCACACACGGACGAGAAGCCATTCAATAGCTCGATGTGTGGAAAGGCATTTGCACGGAAATCACATCTTCACTGTCACCAAAAACAGACTCGGGCGAGAATCCATTTAATTGTTGTGTGTGGGAAGGCATTTGCACGGGAATCACATCTTCACTATCACCAAGAAACACACTGGGGTGAGAAGCCATTCAATTGCTGTGTGTGGGAAGGAATTTTCACAGAAAGCAAATCTTAACACTCACAAGAAAACACATTAGGATGATAAGCCGTTGATCACAAAAGAAACATCCTGGTGGCCATCAAGATCCTGGTGTCACCATCGAGGTAAGACTTCAGAGCCGCGCCGTCACGAGGCCGATGTTGTTGTTAAGTCCGTTGCCACGGGCAGCCGTGCGATGCAGCGGTGACACTCGTACATCAAAGCGAGAAGGGGGGCCTGGGTTCGACTCCTGATTCGGGTGCTCTGCTGTATGGAGTCTGCATGTTCTACCCCTGTTCTGCATCAGTTCCTTCTGGGTTCTCAGATTTTTCCTCCCTAAAGCTTAAAATACACACACAGTGTAAACTAATATTGGGGCAAAACATCCCATTGCTGAAAGATTACCTGCACATTACGGTAATTCCTCATTTAATGCTGTAGATACATTCCTTAAAAGTTCAGCGTTCAGTAAAAAAGTATTGAGCGAAAATAATTTTCCTATAAATAATGTAATAATAATGGTTGGCGAGATACAATGCACTCATACACCTTGAGATGACGAGACCAATGACTGAGGGTATGCCGTTACGTTACTTTATCATTGCGAGTAATGTATCATTGCAGCTCAAGAAAGTAGTTTGTTGTCGACTACTCACAGATCGTGTTATAACGGGCGGGTTTCGTTTTTTAACAGGCGTGTTCTACGTTATAACGTGAAGCGTTCCGTGTTGCAATGGGCGCGTTTGTGTTATTACGGGCACATTCCGCGTTATGCGAAAAGTGTGCCCGAATGGAAGAGGCACATTAAAGTGAGAATGCGTTGTGTTCATATTCTTAGGTTTTTTCGGTAAAGTCACGTCTATTCTTAGTCTTAAGCCTCACCTTACCATATTAATAAAAAGTGTGCCGTACTTGGCCCTTCCCCTCTTCAACCATTATATATACGGAGTGGTAGCTCTTGTAATCTCTCATTTACTTGATACAGCTGTCGTGGCTGTGACGGTTCCACCTGAAGACGGAGGCTTGTGTTGCCTCCAAAACGTCGTGATTTTTATTTTATTTTTATTTTACTTTTATTAATTTGAATTTTTTACCTACGTGACTTTACCGAAAAAACCTAAGAATATGAATCCTTGCAGTCACGAAAGCTTCAAATCTAGAATTAATGCGTTGTGTTAACATGAGTTTGCATTTAGATTTCTCAAATGACCAATCCGATTTGAATGGTTCTTCACTTTCAAATCCTATTGGGTGCCCTACACCGGCTCCTGCTCCCTCTGTGGGAGCACCTAACCAATGTTAGTCGAGTGTGCTACTGGAACTCCTGGTGCTGTTAGACCTGGTGAATTCATATTTAATTATTTTATTGTAAGTAGAATTTGGCTCTGGATATCCCTTAAGTAAATGTAGGCTCTTCATTTGTGGACTTCCTCTGTGCAGCTCCAAGCAAGAAACATACCAGAAGATGGAGCTCCAGATAGCTCTGGAACTTCAGGACGAGGGCAGTGATGAAGATTTCAACGTCATCAAAGTCCTGAACATATTTCATTTCAGAGGACACTACTGTATCGTCATGGAGCTGTTGAAGTATGTACTGCATGCCCCCCCCCCCCCCTCCGCCAATAACGTGGTTAACTAACTTAACTTTTTAGAAGCGACCAGACCACAAATAAAAGCTTAACAAAGTAGCATTTTTCTTCTTGGTTCTTTCGGTAAAGTCACGTAAAATGGAAATAATAAAATAATAAAAATAAAACATAATAAAATAATTCTCACGACGTTTCGGCCACAACGCAAGTAGCCGTCCTCAGGTGAAGAACAGGTCTGTCGGGGAGACAGAGTCTGTCTTCCCGACAGACCTGTTCTTCACCTGAGGACGGCTACTTGCGTTGTGGCCGAAACGTCGTGAGAATTATTTTATTATGTTTTATTTTTATTATTTTATTACTTCCCTTCTACGTGACTTTACCGAAAGAACCAAGAAGATGAATCCCTGCAGTCACGAAAGCTTTAAATCTAAAAGTAGCATTTTGATTATAAATGTGGAGGGGAAAACCAGTGGACCCACAGAAAAATTCACATGCCCACGGGGAGAACATGCAAACTCCAAATCTACAGGCATCACGGTCGGGATCAAACCTAGGACCTCCTCCATACCAGGCAGGGGAGATGTCATCTCGCCACCGCGGCAAGCTGTTAATTCTTAATTTTGGAGCTTTCGTGACTGCAGGAATTACTCTTTGGTTCTTTCGGTAAAGTCACGTATAAAGATAAAATAATAAATTAAATAATAGCATACTACGACGTTTTGATTGCAACACAAGCAATCATCATCAGGTATAAATAAAATAGCAACAAAAATCTAACCATAAAACTATAGACAAACATATGTATCTTGGTGATATCTGTCTGCTTATATGTCTGTCTATAGTTTTCTGGTTACATTTTTGTTGCTATTTCATTTCATTTATACCTGATGATGATTGCTTGTGTTGCAATCGAAACGTCGTAGTATGCTATTATGAAATTTATTATTTTATCTTTATACGTGACTTTACCGAAAGAACCAAAGAGTAAGCTGTTAATGTTGAGATGCCCACGCCACCACCCATGCATTGTAATCCTGTGGAGCTGCCATGTGCCACGGGTGCATTGGAGGCCACTTGTCTTTCCTCCATTAGCCCTGCCACTTTCACCAACCCACGCCTCCACTCAATCAGCAGGGTGGCTGCATGGCAGTGGTGATGCTTGTGCCTCTCGGCGAAAATCCCTGTGAGTTTTTATCTTCTCCCAATGGATAACCCTCCACTACCCGGCAACAAAGCCAATGAAATCAAGTTGTCAAGTGGGCAGATATGCCAACTGATTTGGTTTATGGGCAAATTGACGACCTCAACCCACACATAACTATAACTCTTAATATTGGTCATAAACGTGCACATGAACGTACAATATGAACATGATTATCGTTATCAGAATCAGTGCAGCATTGTAGGGGATGGTACTGATGCCGTGTTTTTGTTGCTGCTTCTGCCTCTCACAGGGAGAGCCTTCATGAAGTGATTAGGAATGCGGGGCTCCGACGGTTGGACATGGCGATGGTGAAAACCTACACCAGGGGCATCCTCAAGTTCTTGCGCCACATACATTCCAGGAAAATCGTCCACGCGGACATCAAGCCTGTGAGTGGACACAGCGTTCAGCTTTCACTTTGGTGCAGAGGTGTATCACTCTTTGGTTCTTTCGGTAAAGTCACGTATAAAGATAAAATAATAAATTAAATAATAGCATACGACGACGTTTCGATTGCAACACAAGCAATCATCATCAGATATAAAAGAAATAGCAACAAAAATCTAACCAGAAAACTATAGACAGACATATAAGCAGACAGATATCGCAAAGATACATAGAGAGAGAACACACATCGGCACACAGAGAGAGAACGTCTCTGTGACGAGGCCTTAAATAGAGAGAGGGAGGTGGGGGCGGAGAGAGGGAGGGGTTAGAGAAAAAATTTGCATGTCAATGAGTAGGACGACGGGTGACAAAGTACGCAAGCTTTATACGTGACTTTACCGAAAGAACCAAAGAGTAATTCCTGCAGTCACGAAAGCTACAAATTAAGATTGCAGAGGTGTATCTTTATTGGGGACTCGTTCCACAGAAAAAAAACGGCCATGTTGGTCACAGGGTCGATATGTAAGCTCTGCCCATCTCACTGGAAGGAGGCAGGGTCATGCTACCTCTGGTGACGATGATCTGGTATGAATTAAACTATCGTGTAGAGTCGTGTCGCTCTTGGGGACTCACCAGAGAGAAAACCGGCAACGTTGATCAGCATTGCCCCAAACCCTGGGAGACATGAAATGGAGTAAAAAATATTTTTTTTCAAAACGTGCGAAATGTGCATTTTGGCCTGACAACTGCTCGTTATCGAATTCCAATCTACAAATTAAAAACGTCCAAAGACAAAGGTGCAGTGGAAAGCGTCACGGAATCCGTGCACTCTCTTGTGCGTGGCTTTTTGTCTCTAACTCGTTAACGGGCACTCATCCAGCTGTGAGCTCCATGCAGCTCTCCTGTTGAAGCAACGGCAATCGGTTGTCAATAGAGCCACCCCCCTTCACTTTGATGGTGCCTGAGAGTGCTTTGAACGTGACACGCCTCTACTCACATTTACAATTTTGACATATTTGAAAGGGGCAACGCCCAGTGACAGCTGTCAGAAAACAGTGAATATTGCACTTGACTGACGCTTGTCGACAGGGCTATGCCTCATCTAGTTCCCCTGTTTAGCGTGTGTCGTGGTATGTGATTGATCCACTGCTGGCTGAATGACATCGGCATAACCTCTGAGTTTGATTTCATTCTACCCCTCCTCCAGGAAAATGTTCTCGTCAAAGACACCGTGACTGGCACCGTGAGGATCACGGACTTTGGCACGAGCTTTTTCGTGGAAAGTCAACGTGAGTGACCTCACCTGGGTGTGTGAGTGTCTGCGTGTGGGTGTCTGTATGGCTGTCTTTATGCATGGGTCTCGCTGCGTCCGTGTGAGTGTCTATATGTCAGTGTCTGTCTGAGTGTGTCTGTGTGTGAGTATCTGAGTGTCTGTAAATGTGACTGTTTATGTGCATGATGATGATGCTGTTTAAGACACAGTGTGTACACACGCACATATGTTTGTTGTCCTTGTGATTTTTGTACAGCTATGAATGTTGGTGGCACCCTAGAATACTTGGCTCCGGAGCTGTTGCTGGGCTATAGCTTGACATGTGGAGTGGATATGTGGGCGCTGGGCTGCACGGTGGCGGAGTTGGCGACGGGCAGGGAATTATTCCGGTCCAACAGCCACGAAGATCACCTCCCGCGCTGCATAGAGGTATTTCCCACACGGCGTCTGTCCGCTCGTGATCTCCCTCTCTTTCCTTGGAGTCGTGGGCTATGGTGGTGGCAGGAGGGGGGGTGGCCAATTGGTGATCTGTGAATACCGGCCGTCGTATGTTGCGTGTACACGTGTGTGTCTTGTTTGTGTGGGGGAGCGGTAGTGTAGCGGTCAGCCTGCTGTGCTAGAAACTGAGTTTGATTCCAGCTCATGGGCAACACCAGTGACGATTGTCTGAACTGGTCCTGGGCCTCCTCTAGTTCGAGACAGCCTCAACTGAGTACCTGGGTCAATTCTAGATTTGAAGCTTTCGTGACTGCAAGGATTCATATTCTTAGGTTTTTTCGGTAAAGTCACTTAGGTAAAAAATAAAAAATTAATAAAAGTTAAATAAAAATAAAATAAAAATCACGACGTTTCGGAGGCAACACAAGCCTCCGTCTTCAGGTGGAACATTCACAGCACGATAGCTGTATCAAGTGAGAGAAATTCCAAGAAACAGTCCTTGTATATATACTGGTTGAGGGTGGGAGGAGCCAAGGTAGGCCCTGAATATTATTTTTGTGATGTTCGGTGCGGCTGAAGCACGCTGTTAGGAATGAGCCTTTGTTGTGTAAACTAGGTGCGGATGATGTAAAGGTGCGTGTAAAAGGGACTGAGCCTTTTTGTTATGTAGAGATGATGCGGCTGAAATCAGCCGCCACTCCTGTCTCTGTGTGCCACAGTGCTGGCCCTCAACAAACGCTGCTAATTTTGCTACTCGATCTGACAGCACTTGTCCCGACAGTGTGCCGAAGCTATACGGGTGACCTTTGTCTTCATGTCAACCATGTGCAGATTCTGGGGATGCCTCCAAGGTACATGGTGAATGGAGCACCCGACAGAACGCAGTTCTTTGGTGAGTTGAAGCGTGGGGTGAATGACAGACCGGATTCAGTTTTAGGGAGTGGCCTCAGGCTGTTGTTATTTAGTTTTGGAGGGGGCGTCTTTGTTTTTTACATTACTTGGGTGTGTGGGTGGGTAAATGGGTGTGTGGGCAAGTGGATGGGTATGTGGGTGAGTAGGCGAGTAGGTTGGTGGGTTATTGGGCGAATAGGTGAGTGGGTGGGTGAGTGGATCAGTGAGAGGGTGGGTGGGTGGGTGAGTGGGTGGGTAGATGAGTGGGTGGGTGCGTGGGTAGGTGGATAGGTGAGTGAGCGATTGGGTAGGTGGAAGAGTGTATGGGTGGGTAGGTGGATGAGTGGGTTGATGAATCGGTCAGTAAGTGGGTAGATGGGCTATGTGGTGGTTGGTGACTTCGTCTCTTCCGCTGTGCATGGCTCCTGCAGACCATCGGGGGAAGATGTTCTGCCCAGGCAAGAAAAGGGTTCCGGGGAGCTTCCCACTTCACAGGGTGCTCAAAAGCGATGACCCGGAGTTTGTCAAATTCATCAGCTCCTGTTTGCGGTAAGAACCACCCACCACTCCCACCCCCTCCCCACGAGGATTCCCCCCTCCAATTGATTGGCGACCGCTCTCCACCGATCACCAGGAAGATGTGGAGCTGAGTGGACCTGCCAATAAGTGGTACCACTGGCCCTCTGTGGAGTTAGCTCTCTTATGGAGGAGTGGGAGGTCTGTCCAAGCCGCTGCTGGGCATCAGAGGACTGCCACTGCTACTGTGGCTTCCGCTGCTGCTGTGCGTTCCTGGACCTCGTGGGAGAAGGGAAGGAACATCAGAGCTCTCACCATGCCTCTCTCACCACGTGGCCGCGTGTGTCTCCCATGCATCTCTCAACAGATGGGATCCGAATTGTCGTATGACGCCAGCGCAGGCGCTGGCTCATAACTGGCTCCGGACCGCGGCCACCAGCACCACCACGGCCAGCAAAGCCACCACCACCACCACCGCTGCTGCTCCTGGCAGTGTGAAGCGCTCTGGAGCTGCTAAGCGACGGTAAGCCACCATCTGCTTGTCCAGTGGTCAAGGCAGTCTATAGGGGGGTGCGGGTCCTGGGGCAAGTTACACGGTGTGTGCTTACGAATAGCGAAGAAATCCTCCTCTTTCAGTCTTAAATAGAGCGATAAATGTGATGTCATCACTTGTGAGCCAATCCGGAGCGATAGCCTACGTGTTAAACGGAAGTATTACGTCTGACACCGTGACATGGAACCGCAGGGCCCCCCAAAGCGCGGGGCCCGGGGTGGTCACCCCCCGTACAGCGTACCCGGGGGTGTTTAATATTGATTTATCTTTATTGCTACTACTTCTACACTTATTTAGCCAGCAATAGCCTCACTCAGTCTCAAGACTTTTTTCAGGAGGGTCCTGCCAAGTGATTGCAGTACAGAACAAATGTACTGCTGCTGTACGATCCCAATTGAGTGATTTGGAGGTTCAATTTACAACACTGGTGAAGATGTCCATCCAACACTGGTTGCACGGCGTGTTTGTGAGGGTTCAGTTGCCAAATCCAGAGGAATGGAAGTGAAATTTTAATGTGCAATTTTATTGAAGGATCGTGTTGTCTTGGTGTGGTGTGAGGCTGTTTTTGTTGCTGTTTCGCTGCGTTGCCCAAGCTTGCATTTAGTGTTGAACAACTGACAGGATTTTATTTACTTATGCCATTTGTATTTATACGCTTTATTTTTTTAGTATACTTTGGACTCCTTTTGTTTTGTTTGTTGTTATAACCTGCTGACCCTGTGACTTGACTGGACATCTGTGAAAGAAGAGCTTCATAGCTCATCAGACTCCTCTTCATCCAGTTTAAAGAAAGATTCTGATTCTGGAAACCCATGCAGGGGGGGGGGGGGGGGCGGGCAGGGTAGGGTGGTTGGTAGAACACACTCCACATTCCACACAGAGAAAGTGGCCCACGTATGGGAATCAAACCCAGGTCCTCTCTGGCTGTGAGTTCCAGCCAAAGAGAACGTGTAGATTCGGTTATATACGGATTTATTTTTCCATAGTTGGTTTCTGGGTGAGGACCGATAATGAAGCGGCAACATATTTCCCAAGTTGCCCTTCATCCACTGAGACACCGCCAGACTAATGCCCATTTTGTAACCAGACTCACGGTGGGCAAAGGTATGCTGCATTATTGCGGCACTGTTAATTAGCTGGGTTAATCTTCTGCGGCACACAGTTAGTCCACCCATAGACGATGGGGGGGATGGGGGGGACTGATTTCTGCTGGAGCAGGAAGTTGGAACGGTGTCGTGCGCATCTCTTCACAGAGTGGAGCTGGCACAGCGCCCAACCTCCTTGCTCGCCCAGGCCTCTAAAGAGAAGTTGAAGGTTGTGGAGGAAGAGACCATGGTGGAGGAGCTGGTGGTGCTGGAGGAAGAGGAGACTCTGGTAGAGGAGTTGGTGGTACTTGAGACGCTGGTGGAGGAGTTGGTGGTACAGCAGGAGACCCTCGTGGAGGAGTTGGTGGTACTTGAGGAGACCCTGGTGGAGGAGATGGTGGTACAGGAGACCCTGGTGGAGGAGTTGGTGGTACAGGAGGAGACCCTGGTGGAGGAGTTGGTGGTACAGCAGGAGACCTTGGTGGAGGAGTTGGTGGTACAGGAGGACCCCCTGGTGGAGGAGTTGGTGGTACAGGAGACCCTGGTGGAGGAGTTGGTGGTACAGGAGGAGACGTTGGTGGAGGAGTTGGTGGTACAGCAGGAGACCCTGGTGGAGGAGTTGGTGGTACAGCAGGAGACCTTGGTGGAGGAGTTGATGGTACAGGAGACCCTGGTGGAGGAGTTGGTGGTACAAGAGGAGACCCTGGTGGAAGAGTTGGTGGTACAGGAGGAGACCCTGGTGGAGGAGTTGGTGGTACAGGAGGAGACCTTGGTGGAGGAGTTGGTGGTACAGGAGGAGACCCTGGTGGAGGAGTTGGTTGTACAGAAGGAGACGCTGGTGGAGGAGTTGGTGGTACAGGAGACCCTGGTGGAGGAGTTGGTGGTACAGCAGGAAAAGAGGAAGCAAGGGAGCCTGGCCCGCATAGGGAGAGCCATCCGCTCACTCCTCCGACGTGTGCTGCTTTGTGGTGGCCGGTCCACTGCACAGTAGGGGTGGTGGAGGTGGTGGATCAGTGTGAACCCTGATCACTTTTACCACACTCACCACACTCACAACACTCACCCTGCACCCACCCACCCTGTAATACCCTCCACCCACCACACTCACCCTGCACCCACCACACTCACCCTGCACCCACCACACTCACCCTGCACCCACCACACTCACCCTGCACCCACCACACTCACCCTGCACCCACCACACTCACCCTGCACCCACCACACTCACCCTGCACCCACCACACTCACCCTGTACCCACCACACTCACCCTGCACCCACCACACTCACCTTGCACCCACCACACTCACCCTGCACCCACCACACTCACCCTGCACCCACCACACTCACCCTGCACCCACCAGGTGGAGGTGGTGGATCGGTGTGAACCATGATCACTTTTACCACACTCACCACACTCACAACACTCACCCTGCACCCACCCACCCTGGAATACCCTCCACCCACCACCCACACCCTGCACCCACCACCCACACCCTGCACCCACCATACACACCCTGCACCCACCCAGTCCGTGATACCCCCACCCACCACTCACACCCTGCACCCACCACACACACCCTGCACCAACCACACACACCCTGCACCCACCCAACCTGTGATACCCTCCACCCACCACCCACACCCTGCACCCACCCACCCTGTGATACCCTCCACCCACCACCCACACCCTGCACCCACCCAGTCCGTGATACCCCGCACCCACCACACTCACCCTGCACCCACCACACTCACCCTGCACCCACCACACTCACCCTGCACCCACCACACTCACCCTGCACCCACCACACTCACCCTGCACCCACCACACTCACCCTGCACCCACCACACTCACCCTGCACCCACCACACTCACCCTGCACCCACCACACTCACCCTGCACCCACCACACTCACCCTGCACCCACCACACTCACCCTGCACCCACCACACTCACCCTGCACCCACCACACTCACCCTGCACCCACCACACTCACCCTGCACCCACCACACTCACCCTGCACCCACCACACTCACCCTGCACCCACCACACTCACCCTGCACCCACCACACTCACCCTGCACCCACCAGGTGGAGGTGGTGGATCGGTGTGAACCATGATCACTTTTACCACACTCACAACACTCACCCTGCACCCACCCACCCTGTAATACCCTCCACCCACCACCCACACCCTGCACCCACCACACACACCCTGCATCCACGACCCACACCCTGCACCCACCATACACACCCTGCACCCACCCAGTCCGTGATACCCCCACCCACCACCCACACCCTGCACCCATCCAGTCCGTGATACCCCGCATCCACCACTCACACCCTGCACCCACCACACTCACCCTGCACCCACCACACACACCCTGCACGCACCACACACCTGCACCCACCCAGTCCGTGATACCCTCCACCCACCACCCACACCCTGCACCCACCACACACACCTTGCACCCACCCAACCTGTGATACCCTCCACCCACCACACACACCCTCACCCACCACACACACCCTGCACCCACCCACAGCGTGATACCCACTACCCAACATACTCCACACAGAGGGTTAGTGGTTTAAGAGGGTTAGGGGTTTAGGGGTATAGGGATTTAGGGGTTTAAAGGGTGATGGGTTTAGAGGGTTGGAAGTTTAGAGGGTTCGATATTTATTGGACTAAGAGTTTATGGGTTGACAGGTTTAGAGGATGATGGGTTTAAGGGTTTAGAGGGAGGGTTTTAAAGGGTAAGGGGTTTAGAGGGTTAGGTGTTTAGATGGCTATTGTTTTAGGGGTTTAGGGACTTCAAGGGTTAGGGGTTCAGAGGGTTAGGGTTTTAGAAGGTTAGGGTTTAGAATATTATGGGTTAAGAGATTTAGATAGTTAGGTGTTTAAAGGTTTAGAGGCTTTATGGGTTTCGATATGTAGAAGTTTAGTGGTTTAGAGGGTTAGAAGTTTAGAAGGTTATAGGTTTTAGAGTTTAGGGGGTTTTAGGGGTTTAGTTTAGGGGTTCAGAGGTTTAGGGTTTTATGGTATAGGTGCTTAGAGGGTGAGGGGTTTAGAGGGTTAGGAGTTCATTGGGTTAGGGTTTAGAAGGTTATGAGTTTAGAGAATTAGGTGTTTAAGAAGTTTAGAGAGTTTATGGGTTTTGATTGTTAGATGTTTGTTGGTTTGGAGGGTTTGGATTTTAGAAGGTTATAAGTTTAGGTGTTTAGATGTTTGGGGTTTAGGAGATTTGGGTTTTCGAAGTTTAGGGGTTTTGAGGGTTAGAGATTTATAGGGTCATGAGGTTTAGGGGTTAGGAGTGTAGAGGATTTAACACCCAGACTTTCACAACTAATATTATCCATAATAAAGGTTTTTTTGGGTTAGTCTCCAACACACCGGTGTGCAAAAGGAGAAACGAATTGGCACTTTTTGTTCACGTGACAAACTTTACTAATTGGTCTTTGGTTCGTTCGGTAAAGTCACGTAATTAGAAATAAAATAAAACAAATCACGACGTTTCGATCGCAACACAAGCAGTCGTCATCAGGCAAAGGAGTCAGCCTCTAAACACAGACAGTTTATAAGGGTGTGGGGATGGGCGTAGCCCAAGTGTATCAACAGCACCAGGAGCATGGGCGGTGCACGAGTGCCAATGCAGCAACAATGCCCATGCAGCAATAATGCTCATGCAGCAACAATATCCATGCAGTAACAATGCCAATGTAGCAACAATGCCAATGCAGTGGGTGAGAGAGCTGCTGTGGCAATATGTTATGTAGGTAAGAAAGAGGAGAGGAGCAAGGGGAGAGAGAGAGAGGGGGGGGGGTACGGGGATGAGGGGGTGCTGCATGAGCGCTAAGGGGAGAGAGGACGTGAAGCTGGGAAGGAAGTGGGTGGGGCTGCAAGTGGGAGGCTGGGAACGCTGGGGATGCGGGGGGAAATAACTCGGAAAAATAGACCAGTACCCGGCAGATATAATAGAACAATCATGAACAATTAAGGTTTTACCTGGTTAATAGCATCCTTCCAATAATTGCTCAATTTGTATCCATCTTCTCGGTTGAAGTTATATCTATGTTTATATATCTGGATGGCTTCATGAACAAACCTTTGATAGTAGCCCGAAGGTTTGCAAGAGTACCTTGGTCTCGGAAGAAACAATATCATGCGAGCCCACAGCATTATAACAATGTTCAGCCACGGCAGAGGTATTGGTTCTGACGTGTTTCAGATCTGCCTTGTGTTCATGAACACGGACCGAGACATGTTGTTTCGTTTCCCCAATGTAACTGCTACCGCAGGTACAAATCAGTTTGTAGACTCCAGATGGGATTAGATCACGGATTTTGTGTACTGTATTGAATTGGACCTGGATCTTGTGTTTGTTTTAAGATTTTGGAAATCTTTTTGGTAACACCTGCTATGTATGGTAACGTGATGGTTTTGATTGGCTTCTCAGGGGGTTGTTTCTCCATGGTTGGAGAAACAGCTTTGCGAATAATGCGGTCCGAGTACCCATTAATCTTGAGGGCCTGGTGTACGTGTTCCAGTTCACTGGCTAGGTGGTGTTGGTCGGAAATGCAGTGGGCCCTATGGTGTAGTGTTTTGATGAGGGAATTATTCTGTGCCGGATGGTGGTGGGAATCAGGTTTCAGAAAGGAATATGTGTGGGTGGCTTTCCTATAGACAGTGTCCCAACGAGCTGTCAGGTCTCTTCTCAAACAAAACATACAGGAATGGTAGCTTACCATCCTTCTCCACTGCCATGGTGAATTTGATGGATGGGTGTATGGAATTGATGTGGTTGAGAAATTGGTTCAATGATGGCAGGCCATGTGGCCAAATGACGAAAGTGTCATCTACATATCTCTTCCACAAGGAAGGGCGTAGGGTGGATGTCTGGATGGCATTTGTTTCAAATTTCTCCAGGAAAACATTCGCTATCACTGGTGATGAGGAAGAACCCATGGGGGTACCTTCATTTTGTTTGTAGAAAGTACCATTCCAGGTGAAGTAAGTGTTGGTAAGGCAGTGCCTAACCACAGTAGGTACATCAAGATTCAGTCCATGTTGGACTAAATCTTCAATTATTGCTAAAGTGTCAGGTACAGGAACCTTGAACAACAGAGAAACTACATCAAAGCTGACGAGTAAATAATCTGGGGACAGTGAAATGCCCTTTATTAGAGAGACCAAGTGAGCTGTTACGTACTGCTAAGGTAGTCTTGCCAATGAATGAAAGCAAGGTATCAGACAGAAAACGGGCCAGTTTGTAGGTAGGTGAGTTGATAGTGGAAACGATTGGCCGAAGTGGAGTACCTTCTTAATCCATGATCTAATCCCATCTGGAGTCTACAAACTGACTTGTACCTGCGGTAGCAGCTACATTGAGGAAACGAAACGACATGTCTCGGACCGTATTCGCGAACACAAGATAGATATGAAACACGGCAGAACCAATACCTCTGCCGTGGCTGACCCTTGTTTTCACGTTGTGGGCTCGCATGATATTGTTTTTTTCCGAAACCAAGGTACTCTGCAAACCTTCGGGCTACTACCAAAGGTTTGTTCATGAAGCCATACAGATTTATAAATATAGACATAACTTCAACCGAGAAGATGGATACAAATTTAGCAATCATTGGAAGGATGTTATTAACCAGGTAAAACCTTCATTGTTTATGGTTGTTCCATCATATCTGCCGGGTACTGGTCTATTTTTCCATGTTAATTTCCCCCTGCATCCCCAGCGTTCCCAGCCTCCCACTTGAATCCCCGCCCACTTCCCCCCCCCCCCCCCCCCCACAGGCTTCACGTCCTCTATCCCCTTAGCGCTCACGCCCCCCCCATCTTCCTACTCCCCCCCTCTCTCTCTCTCCCCCCTTGCTCCTCTCCCCCTTTCTTACCTATATAACCTCTTGCCACGGCAGCTCTCTCACCCACTACATTGGCATTGTTGCTGCATTCGCATTGCTGCTACATTCACATTGCTGCTGCATTGGCATTGTTGCTGCATTGGCATTGTTGCTGCATTGGCATTGTTGCGACATTGGCATTGTTGCTGCATTGGCACTTGTGCACCACCCATGCTCCCGGTGCTGTTGATACACTTGGGCTAGGCCCATTCCAAACCCTTATAAACAGTTTGCCTTTAGAGGCTGACTCCTTTGCCTGATGACGACCGCTTGTGTTGCGATCGAAACGTCGTGATTTATTTTATTTCTAACTACGTGACTTTACCGAAAGAACCAAAGAGTGTGGATTCCTGCAGTCACGAAAGCTTCAAATAAAGATTCACTAATTGTCGGATGGTGGCGGGTTTAACGACACATTTATATTTACACAATCTAACCCAACAAACCTTTATTATGGTATAAGAGGGTTAGGGTTGTAAAGGGTTATGGTTTTAGTGGTTTTGGGGTTTAGAGGGTGAGTGGTTAAGAGGAGCGGTCCTCAACCTTTTTGGTACCAGGGACTGGTTTCGTGGAAGACAATTTTTTCACGGACTGGAGGGGGGGCGGGGGGTCACCATTGGGTCTTTCTCCCTTTTCAAAGAAGCTCTGCAGCGATGTTTGTTTTTACTCATTTTGGCTAGGGTTCGCTTGTGAGCTTACCAAAACTGCGCAGTGCGGGAAAGAGGCGCAGACGGAAGTGGGCGAGCCATGTGCGGACAAAAACAAGTGTCGGATTCTGACTTCTCATAAGGAGTGTGCAACCTCGATCCCTCGCATGCGCAGTTTACAGTAGGGTTCGCGCTCCTATGATAAGCTAATGCCGCCGCTGATCTGACAGG